GTCTGTGTTGTAACTGGTCATTTTTCTTTCAAAAACTGGACAAAATAATGTGAACACTTTTTATTTTGTAAATTAAATCTTTCTTAGCTTTCAGTAATATGCATGCTAATAAGCAAATAGTTAATTATTCAGCATCTGAGATTCTTTCTACTTTTAGTCCTTATTATATTTAGTATTTTGCTAAGAAGCAACTAGTTAATAGTTAATAATTCAGCATCTGCGATTCTTTCTATTTTTAGTCCTTATTATATTTAGTATTTTGTAGATTTCTGATAATGACCTTAGTGATCAAGTCTGTATGGCAGTATGATTCACCGCTGTGACATAACATGCATAAGGTGATGATTTACTCTTGTATGTCCCAGACGGCTTAGGTTTTATGTGGCATCCTCAGAAACGTCTTTCATTGCACCACCTCCCATAATGTGACTGAAGGAAAAGAACATAGAGGTCATCTCAGTTTCATTAACCCCAGAACTTGCTGTTCTAAGATGTTCATACAGTTTCTTTGGGATCTATTGTTAAAATTAACAAACATGTGCATGAAAACAACAAGAGGACTTCAACTGTGTGTCCTTGACAAACTAACATCATACGCAATGCATCGTAGCTGTTTTACACAATCCCTGTGAACACACAATTAACATGACACAATGAGCGTGTCATGAGGGTCCTGAAAGTGACCTGCAGCCTTCCTCATTGACTGCATCACATGAGGAATCTCACAACGTGGATGAGCGCACTGAACTTTCATCTGTATCCTGCTGGCTGCATGCCATTCCAGAGTCATGCTGGACCCTGGTGGAGTGAGCCAAATCCAGCAGGAGGCTCTTGTCCCCGACACATCCTGACAGCTATCAGTTGCTTGAAGGTTGTTATGGTATGGCTGAGCTGAACAAAACAAGAAATAACTATTTTTGACACAATCACGGTTGAAATTTGGCTGATTTTGCATGGCAGGACACAATACTGAGTTTGACATTTCACTCATGCAGTCTTGTTGCACAAGAGCATCTCACAGAAGCCATTTGTTTCCTCTAAAAATCTGCAAGTAACAATGCTGTGAGAAAACATTTCTCAAAGTAGCCTTAGATTCACATTTATAACATCTCAGCCGTACTGAATCATCTTTTTGACTTGTTAGTCATTGTTGCAGCACAAAGGCACATTTCACACACTGCATCTTGGGTTTGGAAGTGTGTGTGTGTGTGTGTGTGATGTGCAAGGAGTCTTGGCTCATTCTCAGCTCAGCAACAGTGCAAGCAGAATGAAGGTCTTTGTCCACACTACTGAGAAAAACCACTGCCTTCATTTATGTGCTTCTCCTCCTCTCCATCCATCCTTGCACAAGTGCAAATACAACATTTTAAACCATGTTAAATCATATTTTATTTAAAGTTAATCAGGTGTACATTCTGTAACAGGCCAATTTGAACATCTACAATATACTGTTCAAAAGTTTTTAAGAAAGGATATGAAGTCTCTTTTGCTCATCAAGGCTGCATTTATTTGATACAACAGTAATGTTGTGAAAAATAATAACAGATTAAAATAACTTTATTTTTAAATTTTAAATATGTTTTTAAGAATGTAATTTATGATATGATAATTAAATTTTCAGCAGCCATTGCTCAACGCTTTTACGGGACAGTGGAAAGGGACGGCTATAAATAAAGGCCTCTTCTTGCACTGACTGGTTGGATTACCTGAACATGCTCCTCCTGAACTTTATTAAATAAACTTGATTTGTTTGAAATATTATTTTTTGCTAACAATGTCAATGTCTTTGCTGTCATTTTTTATCAATTTAATGCATCCTTGCCGAATAAAAGTATTTCTTTCTTTCTTTCAAAAACATTTGAATGGTATTCAAAATAAAGCATATGAATTTGTTTATGGTAATAGTCCTCTTTTTTATGCATAACATCTGTAATAATTAAATAATTCTTACAGTATTTTATACAGTAACACTTTAGTTTAGGGAGCAATTCTCACTATTAATATCTAGTTACTTATTAGCATGCACATTACTATCATATTGGCTGATTAGTTCTTATAAAGCACATATTAATGTATTATGCTGCATGACAGTATTTTAGATCCCTCGATCCTACTCCATATTTAAACTTAACAACTACCTAACTATTAATAAGCAGCAAATTATGAGTTTATTGAGATAAAAGTCACAACAGCAAAAATCTGCAGTAATCACAATATACAGATCATGTGAAGCATATGAAGCTGAGTTAGCTGCTTGAACAAAACTGCTTCATGCATTCCAGTCTGATTTGTTGAGCTGATATTGAAAATGAAAGTATACAGTATTTGGTTGGAAAAAAGTGCAGTGATTTTTGGTGCTTGTTTGCACTTTACTATCAACATGCAGTGACATACTGACTTAGGAAATGATATATCAACATCAGAGACCTCCCATCAATGAAATCCAACCACAAGCGGTCACAGGAGATGCAACTGAGATGCATGTTAATAGCAGCTGTGAAAAGCAAACTCGACTGACTTGTGCAGTATTTTCACCTCCCAATGAAATAAGGGACTGTACAAAATGTACTTTTCATCCGATCGTCTGCTTGTCTGTGCTAAAACAAGAAAGATATGCTGTATTTCTAAAAATCCACTGACAAATGCACAATAATTTTTATTACAGGATAAAAAGTTCATTAAGGCTCACAGGGCGCTCAACCAAAAGTTTGTGCAGATGAAAGATTGCACAAACACTTCCATTAATTTGCGTCACTTGGGCCTGCCACATGTTTTCTTCATGGATTAAACTGCTGATGGCAGTCTAATTTAACATCTGTTTATCACAATAAAGTTTGAGCACTGAGGGGATGAATGAATATCTCTAATATATTTTTTAAAAAGTCCAAACATAATTATGCCAGTGGGTTAGATCTCAGACTGGTTTCTCTAATCTGGATCTTCATCATCCTGAATGTTTGACTGGAAAAATGTCAAGCCACTAACACAAATATATGCTAGTATTTGTTGCTATATGAAAACTGAGGGACTTAATACTGAACACTAAAGATTGACTATACTAGTGTGCAATATATTTGGCTCTTGATCTTTTTCAGCTCAGTCTCACCTTGAGCAGTGTTCCTAAATGTTTATTTAATACAGTCAAACACTGAAAAGCACCTCAGTTGAAAAGGTGGCACAAATGTTTGGTTAAACTTTAGGGGAGCCAACACAGACATATAAATGCAGACAGCTGAGCAAATAAAGACACTAATTAGGCCAAACTGAGATGCCAAACTGCCTGCACAAAAGTACATTTTGACCAGAAAGCAGTAGTTTAATTTGACTGGAATGATCTAATACCTTTGATTAAAATTTTTTTTTTTTTAATTATTGGCAGCTTGTTTGTCAATCCATTCCATTTGTGTTCTCCAATGTGGTTTGATCCATGAACACCCAGCACGCATCACTCTGTCATTCACAAAATAAAATTTAATCAAATGCCCATTTGTGATTTACATCTACTAATATGCAATAAAAATAGTGTCGTTTTGGTTCTGTCTTACTTGTTTCATAATTTGACTTAATTTCTGTCTGTTTAATTGCTTATTCTAAGCACCTGACGTTTAGTTATTTCATTAGTTTCTGTGTATTTAAGCCCTTTTTTTTCTTCTTGTTCTTGTCCAGTATTGTTTGTGCTCTGTCCAGTTTGTGCACTGTTTTGTAGCTTGGCTTCTTTTGTGTTAATAAACTGTTTTCTTTGATCAGTTTTATCATCACGTTTGGACTGAACATTACAGCATATGGTAGTGTATAAACAGTGTACTTTTTTTCCATATTTTTTCCATAAAGTATACAGTATTTAAAAAAAACGCTTCCAACAAGCTGTAGGTAAAAAAAATTTGGGGTGGGTGAGATGATATCTTGTCAAAGGCACCAGTGTCACCACAAAATGTTTGTGTTTTCCCATCTCCAAATTCATAATTTAACCCTGGTTCTCTTTTACGGAAAAAGAGAGAAAGGTACGCAAAGGTTCTAATAATCCTCTATTGTGCAGATGGAGAATGCATTTGGCACAGGTGAAGAGACATACACTCTCCTAGACAGAAGAGAGTGCTTTTGGAAAAACTGACTGGCTGGCTATAGCACAGAGTGTAAATCCAGAAGTGTTGTGACTGACCTGTTGGAGAAAGTGGGAAAAATCCACTTTCTTGAGTGTAGAGCCCAGGCATTGTCTCTTTGCAGACTGGTGCATCTTCCAGAGCATTAACTCCTAGAAAGCAAAGCTGAGCAACAGTCTGGTGGACTTTTGTGTATCTGATGCTCTATGACCTTTAAATTTTAGAGAATGAAGAGTGATAAACACACACACACTTGTATATATGGTTTATGGGGACTCCCCATAGGAATAATTGTTTTGTATACTGTACAAACTATATTATATCCTCTAACGCTAACCCTACCACAAAGTAAATACTGACATTTTCTGAATTTTAAAAAACACATTTATTATGTTTTTTAAGACATTTGGTTTACAATGGTAAACCTTGGTGAACCATGTTTATGTTGTAATACCCATGACATTATACACAGTTTTGTCCTCATGAGGGAATGTGTGTGTGTGAAAGAGAGAGACTGAGAGAGAGTGGGTTAGAGAATGTGTGAGAGAATGGGTTATATGTCTCATTTTCAAATTATCTTTCGGCAGCATTTTCTCCTCATCAAAAACAATGAAAGCCAAATCACTTGAAAAGTCAATGGATTTTGGCTGTAGAGAAATTCTATCCTTGGCAGATGAACCTTAGATGAAATCACAGAGAAAATATGAGGCCGTGCTGCCGCACCCACAACAGTGCAATGAGACCATTTTCAGGAGGGAGAAAGAATTGAACTGTCTGCAACACATGCAATATAATAAACACAGTTTTTTTTTGTCATATTATCAGCTTTAATTACCATGACATAAGTATGAAATCAAAAATTACACACCCAATAACATCAATAATCATGAGCGTATTTTTCTTTTGAACAAAGACACACAAATACAATAACTGTCATATACACATTTCTAATCTCTATAGGAATCACCTCACGGACTTTACATTGAAAAATAGAATAGATTATTCTAAGCAGCATTTGATGTTTGTTAAACATACAACATACATTTCCATTTTTAAAATATCTACAAGGGCTCTTTACAAAAATACACAATGGCCATTGCAGCACAAGGACATTCAAGAGTCTATTCTAAACACATATCATTCGGCTTCCACTTAAACACAATATGTTATACTTCAAAGTCAACTTCTTTAATGTGAAAACAATAGCACAATAATGTCTTTTTTTCTTTCTTTTTTTAAGGACCTTGATTGCTTCTTAAGATTTCTTCCAAAAAGAATTTGTGTGATTCTACAGAAGTACATTTTAGGGAGATTTGTGAATACATAAAAAAAAATTAAAAAAAAGTACTGGGAGAAAAAAATTCTGAACTGTGTTTGAGAAATTAAGTAATTTTGTTCCACGCACAGAAATTCAAGTTTAGTTTTGCCACATGGCCTCTGTTTGTAAGTATAGTTGTAAGGTAAGACAAACAGTTTTTAGCATGTATCCCATGTGGTCATGATGTAGTGTCTTTGGTGCAATACGACTAGTCTAATAAACTGCAATGAAGCCTGTGTATGAGGTCAAGTAAATGCTTTAATTCTATTTTGCAAGTATAAACTATGAATACTTCCTTTACTTTGTCATTTTTTTTAAACTGGCAAGCATGACTCAATATTCAAAACAGCAATTATGAACATTATACCTATGTTTCTGTAATTTCTTTTTTTTGGGGGGGGGGGGGGGGGGTACTACAAATTGTGAGAAACTCATTTGAACTCATTGCCTGTCAACCATAAACCAAAATAATGACACAATGACAGTAAAGCTCAACTCTTCTCTCAATTAGGATGCCAGGGATGTATGATGACATTGTAAAACCTGTACTCAACGTGTTTAGCGAAGTTAATTTCACCTTTATTTTTAAAAAATGAGGCACATGTGCAGAGAAGTCCCCAAAACCCTCAAAAGAAAAGACATTTGTGTGAGCACAGAGGTATGGCCAATAATAAATAAAATCCCTTAAGTGGGCAAAATCAAAAACAGACTAGTTTAAAACCCTTGGATGATGTTGGAGGCTCTGGACCAGCCCAAAGTTTTAAACATCAGGAGACTTATAATATTAAACCACTAAATATGAACATTCTGTCATCATTTACTCACTCTCGTGTTTTTCAAAACCTGTATGACTTTGTTCCTTCTGTGGAACAAAAAAGGAAAAATTCCTCAAAAACACCTCTTTAGAAATCTTTACAAAACGTCTGTCCACAGCTCTTTATAAGATGGTGTATGGGAAAAGGCACTGCCGCATATACTTGAGATTTTTATATCGTGACTTTTTTTAAAAAAGGATATGCCATCATATGCAAACTGGTAAAGGCCCTTAAACATGACTTCTGTGTCACTTTGGTAAATGAACCACAACACACAAATCTCTGTGACACACAGTAAGTGTCACAAGCTACTATGCACTAACTGATCCCAATAAAGTGAGCCAAAGTAATTAAACAGAAGAGACGGGTAGAGTATATCTTCAAAACTTGAGCTGTCCATTCAATTCGCTGTCTGTTGATAGGCTGAAATTAGTGCAGGATATTTCAACCTAGCCAAAGTCAATGCGTGGTCGATATTCAAGTACCATTGGGTAGGCCTGGAGAAAGAGACATGTTGTAGATGAGTATACAATGTACATTTTACGGTACAGTATGCAAACTTAAAATACATAAATTGATTTGTATACAGATTGTCAAGTTTATTGGAAATGTATTTCTTTAACGAGTAAAGAATTTTTTTTTTTTAATTGAAGTTGAAATCAAACTGATATACTCTCTCTTAATCACTGAGCTCATGGAACATCAGTCTTGAATGTTTATACATTGCTGTTAAAGGGATAGTTCACCCAAAAATGAAAATTCTGTCATTAATTGCTAGCGCCATTTTGGAGAATATCACATACGTAAACCACGTATGCAACGTATGTACGCGGATACATTGTTTACATTCAGATCAAAGCATAAACAATGTAAACAGCGTATCCACGTATGGTGTTGCTGACACAGAACGGCATACATTGTTTATGTATGTGATACTCTCCAAAATGGCGCTACAGGGTGATGCGGAGGAGACGATTTGTTGAATAAAGTATTTTTTTTCTTTGCACACTAAAAGTATTCTCGTAACATCGTAAAATTACGGTTGGACCACTGATGTCACAGGGACTATTTTATCGATCTCCTTGCTACGTTATTTTGAGCCTTGATCGTGTAAGGATCCTTGCTGTCTATGGGAGAGTTAGAGAGCTCTCGGAATGCATCCAAAATAACTTAATTTGTGTTCCGAAGATGAATGAAGGTCTTACAGGTTTGGAACGACATGAGGGTGAGTAATTAATGAAATAATTTTCATTTTTGGGTGAATTGTCCCTTTAAAAGTCAATCTCTCTATGGAGAAAATGAATGGAATATGGAACTCTGTTGCAGCACTGTTGTAATGGTTGTAATCTAATCATATTTTGAGTTATTCTTTTCAAGAAAGCCACAACCTTTGTGTTCCAAACAAATATTAATACATTTTCAATCTGCACTGAGAATGCGAGAACATCTTCACAGCAGTACTGACAGGTTACATTCTCATTCTCAAGTACACTCAAACAACACTCTCATTCTCAAGTGCACTCAAACAACACTCTCAGAAACCCGTTTATAGAAAGCAAGGGAAGGAGTTTTCTGTACTGTACCAGAAAAATAGGAGATAAGGTGCCAGCTCTTTCTGACCCAGTTCTGTGTCAATTTACAAGGATTTCATTTTTAACCTCATGTAGCTTTTATATCCGCAGGAAATTGTTGCGACTTTTTTTGGCAGAATCCAAAAGCTGATTATGTGTATCCTTATTGAATTCTCAATTTATTTAAAGTCAATTTCAAGATCTAGGAAAGCTATAAGGGAAGTCTTTCTGATTTTACAGTATACATGAAATGTGTGATACATTTAAGTGATAAATGTAATATTCACCAAAACAATTACAAATAATTAATTAATAATAATTACTAGGGATGTCAACTGATAAATATTATTATATTATATTATATTATAGTATATTTATTGTTTTGTTTAAAATTGACATTTTAATCATTAAATTTAATCATGGGGCAAAAAAAATTTAACTCAAGAAAATGTTATGTGGTTAAATGTTCATGAGCTGTTCTTTGACTAAAATAGAGCCTAAGTGGTGGCTTTTCCACACAGATGGAAAGTCATACACTTATCAACAGGGTATACAGGGACCCTCATTAAGATGTGGCATTACCCTATGAAGTCCCCTGGTGAGTTGCAAGAGGATATGCTTGGGTATGAAAACAGAGTAGAGACCCCCCAGTGAGGCGTCTGTAACCCCTTCACCACAACAGCGATTCATGACCTGACCCTGGACCTTATAGCTTCATACTCCATGACAGCCTTGTGTAAAAGTGACAATCATAATGCTAGAATTAACTCTGAAGTGCATGTCCAACTGAGGAGGGGGGTGTGGGACTGACTTGACTTGTTTTGAAATTAACCTTAAAGTTTTATGGCTGTCTTAAGTTTATTGCTTTAAATTGTAAATACCATGCAAAGCCACACAACTTGCTATGAACCTGCTTTGAGTAATAGGGTCTGCCACACTGCTCATCCCAGTGGAAAAGATGAGCGGATTTAGATTTCACACATGAGAAGAGAGAAGTGAGGAGAGAAGGAGACACTGGTATTCTCATAGCTTACATTTTCTCCCCGAAGCCTCCAGCGCGTCATGTAGATAAACTCCATGGTGTGGTCTTTACCCATGATCTCACCATTGCATAGAACATCTAGCTGCAGAAAAAGTTAGTGACTGTCAGAGCAATTTCATTGTATAGTAGACCAAAACAGCCAAGAACACATGAAACAAGAACAACATAAACAGCAGAAACATGATAAACATGAGATGGTGGTTAATTGGTGAAACACATGCAATGAAGTAAAATACACATGTTTGAGTCCTAGAAGAGCATATTACAGAGTGTTCCTGTATGCCAATGTCATGAGTTTGACTACCAGGGAACACATGTACTGATAAAAGGTATAGGTTTTATCACACTATATGCACTATAGGCTTAGCATAAATGTGTCTGCAAAATGCATAAAATAGACATGTGAAATATAAACGAAATGGAAAGGCAATATGTAATATCCACCAAATCGTGGTGCCTTTTTTGCTTACAGGAAAAATGGTCACCTACATAGACTAAAGATATTCAGGAGTTACCTCATAAGAACTGGGAAGCTTTAACTTCAGACTTAAAAACTTCTTGATTGTTCCAACAGTCACTCTTGTTGAGCATCGAATAAATTTTTTCATTAAGCCCTGGAAAACAAGTCGAAAAAACAACTTTGATCAAATTTCCAAAATGCGAGTCAATCAAAATATTAGAATGATTTCTGAAAGATTGTGTGACACTGAAGACTGGAGTAGTGGCTGCTGAAAATTCAGTTTTTGCCATCACAGGAATAAATTGTTTTAATTGTAATAATATTTCATTATATTACTGAAAAGAATGAAAGTAAAAGAGAATTATTTGCAACAAAGGAGATACTGGCGATGTGGGAGCCGATAGAAATTATTGAGCTCTGGAGTTACACTGATTGATACTAGGCTTTAGAAAAGAATAAGGATCAGCCTCGACTTTAATCTTAAAATGTCAAACACACTGATCTTGATGGAAAATAAGTCTGATCCTGGATCACCTTTCCTTTAGAAGGAATAAGGGGGCAAGACCAACACAGAAAGAAGATAAAAGAAGACGACGACATGGGATGGCACACATAAAGTATAGGAGGAGGAGAGATAATTCAAGATGGGTAACCTTAACAATGTTCTCTCCCATCTGCCCATTGTTACGCAAGCAGTCTAGACAGATGGCTATCTGCGGATCACTCCTGTGGTAGTCTCCATCACCTTTAACATCATCATCTTCATCCACTCGGGCCTTCTTACATATAGGGCCATCCTCTGGAAAAAGACAAAACAGAGCTGCTCATGTTAAAGGATTGTCATTTAAATCACTATCAAAAGGTCTGAACTGTTGTTTAATCTATCTTTCACACAGATTTCTTAAATTGTACTTTTTTTTTTTAACTAAACTGAATCAACATTTAACTAAATTGAGCCGAATGATAACACTATTATCTAATATAAAGCTGCTTTACAGCTGAAATTCAATTTATAACAATTGATTAATTTTTCAACATTAAGTGTTAATGAGTTACGTCTTCTGCCATTTTGGAGAAAGGCATACCCAAGAGCATAATCAGCGCTGTTTACGCTTAGGGGAAAGCGTGCGTATGTATTGTGATACTCTAAAATGGCCGAAGACGTAACTTGGGGAAGAAGAATTGTTGAATAAATTGTTATTTTTGTTTTCTTTGCACTCAAAAAGTATTCTCGTAGCTTCGCAAAACTGAAGTTGAGCCACTGATGTCACATGGACTGTTTTACCGATGTCCTTACTACGTTTCTGGACCTGGGAACATTACCGTTGCGTTGCTGTCTATGCAGGGTCTGAGAGCTCTCACATTTAATCAAAAATATCTTAATTTGTGTTCCGAAGATAAACAAAGGTTTTATGGGTTTGGAACAACATGTGGGTAATTAATGACAGAATTTTCATTTTTGGCTGAACTTTAAGTGTTAATTTCTTGTTTATTACTCTGAAACTGCTTTGACACAATCTGTATTGTATAAAGCACTATATAAATAGGCTAAATGTTACTTGACTTTTTAAATTTTTTTGTAACATTTTTCTGACTCCCCAAAATGTTTAAAATGCACGTGAAAATAATATAATTTAGATTTTATGTGAAAATTGTATAAATTTCATTTAAAAATAAAATAAAATAAATAAATATGTGCCTTAATTACGTGTTCCCCTGACAATGCAGGGCACAAAAGCTAAACATTTCAGACTCATAGATATGCTAATGAAAAATAGCATCTGCATCTTTTCTCAGAGCTTTCTTTCATATGAAATAGATAACATTCAAAATGATGATCTTGGGAAATTCATGAATGTGGTAATTATCTAATCATTAAGAACTGCTTACAGCTGCAAACACTTACAAGTTGCCTTGGAGACTCCAAGTATTATGAAAGTCATTCATTTTGGTTCATACATTGAGCATAAGAGCTGCAGATTAAGAAGAAAACAAAAAACTCATACATTCCAACAAATCACACAAAACATAATTTAATTAAATGGGGCATCCCAAACAAATAAGGCCATGTAATTTTACTACTGATATGATGTAGAAAAACAAATGAACGGCATGTTCTTGTGTGTCTTCACCGTCATTCAATTTGGTCTTAATGCAGAAATTAAGTCATCTTGTAACAAATCCTCGTGAGAGCAAATTCTAACTTGCTGACCTGTGTTACTTAATAAAATTAATTTGACGGCACTCTGAGGGAAATGCAGTAATGCCAAGAATAGGTGTTTAAGGTTGACTGAGGGTAGAGAGCCTAAACTGTAAAAAAATTAAAAGAAATAAATGTATTTTACCACGGCAGATTTCTTTTGTCAATTAGACAATTTGAAATTTGGAGAAAAAAGAAAAAAAAAACTTTTAACTAGATAAGTTGCCTTTATCATACAATTATTTATATAGCACAATTCTTTACATTTTATTTACATTGTTTTATTGTAAATAAAAAGGTGTTTGTCTAAAATGCCACATTATGTCTAAATTTGGTCATATGAGTCAAGCTTTCTGCAAAGCCATATATCCATTAAAGTCTATCAGTTTTAAAATTTCAGTGCTTATCTTTACAGTTGTAATTGTATAAAACAGTTGTACAGAGTGACTCTGTAGTAGTTCTCTCTGGAGTCAAGGGAGCAAAGTGACACAGATACATCTATACTGATGACTCGCATCTTATACCCACCACCTCTGAGTCAAGGTCAGTGGAACAGAGTGTGGTAGATTCATTTGAGCTGTGAAGACATTACTTGATAAGGAACAAAAGTGATACCAAAAGTCTGATGAAAGAAGTTTAAATGCTGATACAGCAGAGTAACCTGGTCCATAGCAGGACTCATAACCAGGAGAGTCTAATGTGTGGGATTAAAGGGATAGTTCAGCCAAAACCAAAAGGTCTGTCACTATTTACTGAGTCTTCTGCTATTCCACACCCATATTTCTTTCTTCTGTAAACCACAAAAGGAGATGATGGGTCGAATTTGCTTGCTGTTCTTTTTTCAAAGAAAATTAATTTTGACCAGGAGCTTTTAAGCAGCAAAAAGGACAGCATAAATGTATTATAACAATAGTTCATATAACCTGTGTGTTCTATCCCTAGCCTATTTGGGATATTTTTTAAATGCTTTTTGTCATTTTCAGAAGTTCACGTTCTCCACTCACTTTCATATGGAAAACAGCAGTCAACATTCTGCTAAAATTCTCTCACTTTTCTGCCAGGTTTGAATCGAAAACAGAATTACACAATTTTCATTTTCAGGTGAACTATTCCTTTAAAATGGTGAAGCTTTGAGTTAACATGTTTATCAGGTGAATGCAGTTGTAGATCATGTCACTGTTTGAGTCATTTACCATCAGGACTTTCTTTCACTTTGTTTCTTCTCCAGAATTCAATCTCTTGCTGCTGTTCATCTGGAAGAAATGAAAAAGTTGATTAAACGCCAGTTGATATATGGTATCTATAAATGACACAAGAGTTACTTAAAATGGCAAAATACATACTTTCTCTAAGACCAGGCACAAGTTTGAAAATGACTTCTTCTAGAGTGTTGTCCAGCCTTTGGAGAAAAGAAATACACAGAAATGTGAACTACCAGAACACCAGCCATGCTAATGTCGCTGTCATGTCTGTTAGCAGGTTCAGGTTAATGCTGCTCTACGCTCTTGTTATCATTCTGTCTGGTGTTGGGGTGGAGATGTATCACTTGTGTGGAGAGGCAATACTGTGCAGGGTTAGTCTCACAGCTGACACTCTGGCTCCAGAACATAGTCTGGCAGTTGCTTGGAATGCCTCCCAACCAGGATCAAATTCACTGCCACTTTATGACCCCACACTGCTCGAAACCAGACAACTGTGGGTAACAAATCTCTCAGACCTATTACGGGAAAGCTATTAGATTTAGTTCCAGATTTCTTCAAAATCAAATAGATTAATCTCATTAATCCTTATCTTGGCTTGTATTGTTGTGTGCTCTACAATGCTACACTGAGTCTGATCCCAGACCACTTGAAGCGGATTTGCTGAAGAGGTTTTGAATTAGTAGTAGGATATCATGGACCAGTGTGGTTTACCTTAACATCTCCAAGGGATTTGTTTCATGAACCTGGATACCACATTTTGGGCAATCATTGCTGTCCTCAAAATGCTGGACTATACAGCTTTTACAAACTATACAAAAGCAGAAAAAAAGAAAATTATACTTAAATAACAGTAAAAATCTGTGAAATTTACAGTAAAAAAAAGCAGCTGTGGCAACTTCACTGTAAAAATACAGTAACAACATTTGTGTAAAATGACTATGATTGCATCGTCCTATAAGTCAGTTGTTCCCAACATTGGTCCTGGAGGCACCTCAATACTGCACTTCTTGCATGTCTCCTTTCTCTGGCTGCGTTTACACTTTGCATTAATATGCGATCACCGTGATCCGATCAAGCAGATCGGACCATCAGTCAATCAGAACACGGCGCGTTTACACTTGGCAACATCAGCTGAGATCTCTATCTGGACAACCGATCGGATCTGTCTTTCCCGCGTAATATTTAAATAAGTCTGCCAAGAATGGCCCGGTGCAAAGTCAACCTAATGCGTTGGGTTTTCTGTTGAAAAGCATTTTCAGTCACGGGACATTTTACAAATCAAACTCTCTAGCGCTCCACATGGGTGTTCTCCACCTTTCTTGTGACCGTTCGGGAGAGTGGGGGCGGGGTTTTGCGTGATGTCGACCTGCGAATGCAGACCATGTATAAAAATGCAGATGCAGACACGATGGCTGGATTGCGTTTAGATTACACTGAGATCCGATCACAATGCGTCCTCTACTACCTCTGGACCAGGACACGCTGATCAGATAACATTCCGATCAGAAGCGCGTTTACACTTGTCTTTTCAATGTGTATGTGGACAACATCCGGATGCAGGTTGCATGTTAATGCCAAGTGTAAACGCAGCCTCTGACACACCAATTTCAGGTCTTGGAGTCTTTACTAATGAGCTAATGACCTGAATCAGGTGTGTTTGATTAAAGAGACAAGCAAAACCTGCAGTGTTGGGGTGCCTCCAGGACCTGGGTTGGGAACCATTGTTATAAGAAATAAAATTGCTTGTTCTTTTTTTACTTCTAAAAACTATAAATTTTGCATTGCTTTACCAAATTTGATGTCCTATTGTAGCCATTACAGATTTTCACCATATATAGCAAGAGAACTTCCCATTTACCAATTACATTTTACTGTAACATTTTTACAGTTTCTTACTGTTCAAATTACAATAATTTTTAATGTCAAATTTCACAGTTGAAATTCCCTGCAAGAATGACCACAAACTACAATTAAAACCAAGTCTTACAAACTGGCATTTAGATAAAGTTTTAGTTGGCTTTGCTAGGCCATGGCCAGTAAAACACCTATCATTTTCCACCGGCAAAATTGTAGCAACACTCATTATCTTATTGCTCTGTAAATACACACATAGAAAGCTATCGACACACATAAACTATTTCAAACTTCTTTACCTCATGAGTGAGTGCATGGGGAAAAATAGCCACTGCCCACACATATTACACACCGACATTGATGCACAACACAATCAGGTCATCATGTGTAATAAGTTGGGCAGGTGGCAATACAAATTAATTTTACGGCATTAATTAACAATAAATATAAGCAAAAAATGATAAAAATAAATATCAAATAATATAACTAATAATACATTTTACTATTGAACTTTCTCATGGTTTACTGTACATTTCATATGCCGCAATCAAACAATAAAGCACAAATTGCAAACTAATTCCATATTTTGTGTGAAAATTGATGCTTGAGGAGAATATCTGTTGTCATGGTGACTGATCTACAGATGACAGTGATAGTGTGTTGGTTATGTATCTTAAAAATGAGGGTGATTTCACATCTGGTTTGCCGTACCAATATAATGCAAAAAGGAAAGTAGGTCACTTACACCTGACAATGAAATGACTATTAATTAACACTAGATCCTGATGTTCGCATACTCTCTGTGGAAATACATATGTGCCTAATCAAGCATTATAAAATTAATTGTCCCTAAAAATCATTAACAACAGCAGTAGTGGGATTTATCAGCTTAAATACAGGCAACAAACACTGGTCTAAATAGTGTATCAGTGAAACTGGTAGGTCTGCACTAAAGTACAGTAGTTTGGTTGGACACATTGATTCATACTGTATATTAAACATTTAACAATTACAGATATGTAAAGTTATTTCCATATTCTGCTATCCTAACTTTGTATGGATAATTACATTTTATTACTTGAAATTAGCATTGCTTTTTTCCACGTGCTGTCCGTGACACTATTAGAACAGATAGTTTTTAGGTCAGAGCCCACTGGCTGAAAACCACTGCTAAATCATCATCAAAATTTTCATTAATTTCTCATAGAGACTGTAGATACTTACAGGTGTGCAGGCACTCTGTCACAGTAGTGGGCTTGATCAAGTACCCTTTACAGATATAGCAGGTGATGAAATGGTTTAAGTCCCTCACCAGGTGTTTCCTATGTGATGTCATTGTCAAGTTACCAAAGGAGGGATGAAGGAAAAACTGATGGTGTAAGGATGAAGTGGAATGCAGTTTCAGCCACTCTGTGGCTCAACTGCAGTATTCTGCTGAAGGGCCCCTGGCCTTCTCTTCCTTCATGACATCATGGAAAATTAAACATGCCATTAAGACAGACCTGTGGATGTGGATAAAACAATCATGCTTTATATAAACATTTTAAAATCATTGAAAGTTGTTGAAAATATATATATATTTTTTGTTTACTTTTATTGCTTTGTCTTTTTGTGTAACATTAGCCTATAATCTTTGTTTGTTAAAGGTGCATTCAGTAAGGCTGCGTTTAAAATCATTCTCTCTCAGTAGGTACTTCTTTTGAATTTCTTATTTAGTCACCATTAAAAATCAGTGGTTCTCAATTCCAGTCCTGGCTGACACAAGGCGAATTCCAAATGCTATTGCACCCTTAAAGGGCACTTTTGGAAGGGGATGCCATTTGTTAGGGAATTCCAAACGAAAGTGAACACCTCAATCCCTCCATGAAGGGCCCTTTCACAAGTCCGATGGTCTATAATTTATGGTCATGTAATCCAAGTTGGTATCCTCATGATTTTGGGTTAACGTATGAACAGAATAATTCAAGGTGTTTTGTTATGATATATGACACAAAATTCATATTAAGTTTAAATATGTTTCATAAGTAAGAAATATGTTTAATAGTAGATGCATTGGGTAAATGTGACCTGCAGGGTTCAAAGAAGAGATGGCAACTTTTATAGCAGAGGGACACACACACACACACAGGTTTGTTTTTGTGAAAAGTGGGGACATCTCATAGGCGTAATGGTTTTTATACTGTACAGACCATATATTCTATTGCCCTACACCAACCCTACCCCTAAACCTACCCCTCACAGGAAACTTTGTGCTATTTCAGATTTTCAATACACTCCATTCTGTTAGATTTATACGTGTTTTAAAAAGTGGGGACATGGGGTAATGTCCTGAAAAGTCACCTTCTCTTTGTAATACCTATGTCATACCTTTGTCATTATACAAATTTATGTCCTCATTTGTCACAAAAACGCGCGTACACACACACACACACACACACATAAAGCATATTTTAAAAACTTCATTATTAAATGTATATTTATTTGTAACATATTAACAGCAATAATAATAATGCTGTAACATTCCAGGTGAAGATAATAAGCAAATTACATTGTCTTTCATTGCTCCCTTCACCAAGGGCCTTCCAAATGGCTTTATTATGACACGGATGTCCCCTGCTCTCTGCAGCAAAAACCGGAAGCTAAAAATAAATTAAATTTTCTACCTATTAGATTGTTTTATTAACATCTACACCTACCCCAACTCTAAACCTACCCCTTACAATAATGCAAAAACAGTCATTACTGTATTTTTTGTACAGTGTGAGAAAAATGACGCTGTATTGATGTGCACATGCCCAGTAGCTTTTGCTGTATCCGTTCTAGCCTTAACCATAAGGGCACTCTGGAGGCAGAACAATCATGGCCGCCATATTGAAGGGTCATTCTAAACTAAAGTACCAAAACTGGCCACTTCAAAGGGCCCTTCGGAATAAAGGATTTCCAAGGGTGCAACTGATGAACACTTTGCTCCCATGATACGTTTTGCACAGGTTTTATTGTGCACTGCAGAAAGTAAAACGCTGTAGCTGTTGTTTATGCTCACTCTTATTCCTTCCAAAAACACCAGTGATTTTGGATTTTATACTGACACCTACTGGCCTAATGAAGTATTTTTATAAAAGCACAGTGAAGCGGTTTGTTTTCATTTCATGTCTGTTTTTCTGTCTATTTTTCTACTACTACTACTACTCATAAGACACATATAATGGTCAGTACAGGATTTGGTGGTTTGTGCTAGTACACGGTATGTGACTACTTTATCCTTGATCTGTGGTGTAACCTGTTTGTTTGGACTTTTATTTTTCCATTCATGCTCATTGTCTTTATGTTGGTTGATTGTACATCAGGGTTCCTCAAATCTTGCACTGGAGGACCAATGCGCTGCAGAGTTTAGCTCCAACCCTGATCAAACTCACCTACCTGTGATTTTCTAATGATACTGAAGACATTATTGATTAGCATGCTCAGGTGTGTTTGATTAGGGTTAACGCTAAACTCTGCAGGAAAGTGGATCTTGTGGGCCAGATTTGAGGATCCCTGTTGTACATATACCGATCATATGCTGCGTCTCAATGTGCCTACTTATACTATACCCTTAAAGTATGTACTCTTTTGGTGAAGAAAAAGTACACACTTTTGAGTGTGTAGTAGAAGAGTAGGCAAGCTTTGGGACATACTATCACATCACACAACTGCGTCTTTAACGGACGCTCTGTCGCAGGGGTGCACAAACTTGGTCCTGGAGGGCCGATGTCCTGCAGAGTTTAGATCCAACCCCAATTAGGCACACCTGAATCAGCTAATCAAGCTCTTACTAGGCATACTATAAACTTCCCAGCAGGTGTGTTGAGGCAAGTTGGAGCTAAACTCTGCAGGACACTGGCCCTCCAGGACAGAGTTTGAGCACCCCTGCTCTGTCGCATAGATACACGCACCCTGTCACTGTAAACTGGCCTGTCAAT